TTACAGGTGCGGAACGCAAGTCAGTCAGACATAGTCAGATTTCTGCTCAACAGGTTCAGGAGACCCTAGGTTGCGTCACCCTCACCTAGCAGGGCAAGATCGTCTGCATACTTTGGGTCAACCAGATATCCTTCAGGGTCAATCCCTGTGAAGCCAGACGTACCTGAGGTGATACCCATAAGCACGCCTATTACGAAATTAAACAGGAACGGTGACAGTAGGCATCCATATCACATATCACTAGTTGTCGTCAATGCTGGTGACAGCGCTAACACGGTTGTGTGAGTTCCAGTAAAGAGCTTTGATTAGCGTTTGTACTTTCTCGGTACTCCTTCCACGATTAAACGCTCCCACAACCCTTCACGGTCAAAAGAGTCAAATGCTCCCTTAAGGTAAAAATATGGCAAGTATCGACCACCAGTAAGTATGCATGTATTCCAGGGCCTGTCAAAGGAAGGAATCTGATCGATGCATCCTAGTTCCGATCTGAAACCTGACACCCTTTTATTGAGTTCCGGTTAGGCGTCGGATAACTATGGATCCTAGGATCTTGGACACGATGTTAGTTAAACTGGCTTCCATATGGTTGTCACAAGAAACTACTTCCCTTCTTTATCAGCTGGAATGGAAAGTGAAGTAAATCGATTCAACGGACTACCTTTGATTCTTGTCCATAACCTGGTAACTACGTTAGCCTACTCAATAATTTCCTACCTCCATCCATAAAAACTTCGGGTGGCAAACTGTTGTTTCAAGATTACAAACAGCTCTCTCAATTTAGACGAGAGTTGGAGAACCGACATCTACGTCCCATTGAGGCTACGGCTGGATGTTGGGTAACTATGGCGTTATTGAGGGCTAGTTGAACTGGGCTTCAAAGTATTCTGCCCAACGTTATAGCCTGCTGGCCTAAAACGTTATCGGCATCTCACTCTTTTCAGTGATGGCTTCACTAGCCATCATCTTCTTCTTGCCGATATCCTTAATAAGCCTAAATAGTTGTCGAGTGTTACCCAACGCTGATGCCTTTTCCCTCTGTTTCGCGTTCGGACCTCACTACTACTCGGGATTGACGAGCAGACTTTTAGTCAACTTACACTGAAATCGTTTTGCTCTTCGCGTGGTCAGAGCTGGTTGGAATCAGTCTTCTCGCATCAATCACTTCAGATTACTCTGTAGAAATCCAACGACGTTTGCTATCCTTCACGTGTAGGTTACCAACTGTCTTTACCGCTGTTTCTAAAGCAGACTTAATATACCAGGTTTCCCCAAGATAAGCATTTGCCGCCACGTTCAGATAATTGCTTCGTTACCTCCCCTTTCATGCTCTAATCTTCCTATTGAGCATAGACAGGCTTCACTGTCACCTGTTCCCTGCGACCAGTAAGGCGCAAACATACACATGACCTTACTAACACGTGATATGAGTCTAAATGGGTACTCCATAATGAGCTACAACCCTCGACCGATCATCTGCAATGATGGCTTGTAGTAATATGACCTATGTATGCATTGCTAGTTTGGTGTTAGTGGATGCCATGTGAGACATTGTCTCTCTTTGCGCTTAAAGTTAGTGTTGGCCGAAAACAAGTGATTAACGGGACAAAATGGCAACAGACGATCACCGTTGTCAGTTCGTCGGGATGAGATTCCGTAGATACTCCCAAGATGCCTTTCCGATTGGCTCAGTGTTTCTAATTGGCTGCTGAAGTCACCTGCTATTATGACTACATTGAGACGTTTTGCTTTCCCTAGGAAAGTTGACAGCTACTCATACGATTAATCCTTTGTATCGTCCGAATTGCAGTAGTTGGAGGTTATGAATCAGATTCGGCTAGTCTCCCAATCCCTCCTAGTTTTTACAGATCCATCCAGTCGAACAGTACACTGACAACTGTTGAGTGGTATTCAGTCGAGAAGCGCACTATCTGCTCGATCTATCTGTCTACACTAGCGAGTCTACGACAGCTAACCACTGTGTTTCAGGATTCTCGTAAGGTGTTTTGAAGACTCACTACTATGGCCTAATAAGTTCAGTTTAATAATAATTTAATAATAATAACAATCTAAAGTACACAACTCGACAGACAGACAGACTCACCAACGTGAAACTGCACAGAATTATATTAGTTGGAGCTACCATGCTCCAACACAACATGTAATAAGAAAGTAGAGAGAAAAAGAATGACACACATGGAAAAAAGTGTACAAGAGGAGAGTACAGAAATGAATGAAGTTTAGTGAAATATCTAACATTTTCAGTGACAAAGAATTTATACATCTGCGTCATTGTAGCGAACTTTGAACCATACCACCAAGAGTCTCTAATTATGGTTTTCTATCGTCTTGCAGCCAAGGAGTATACACCTTTCTATATAGCTAAGACTTACATTACCTGACTTAATAGATTGATTCTACGTCTTAGCATAGCCACATTTAACATCTTTAAAATCTAATTCTATGTTGGCTATCATCATGTGTCCAAGCAGATCAAATACTGAATAATTCAATGTCGAATACTAAAAAGGTTAGAAGAAGAATCAAAATACCATTACGACGTATAGAAAACTGTGAAGTTTATGAACAAAATACCGGGATCTCCGATGAATCAAAACAAACTGGACAACAAAAGACGGAATAATGAAGGACCCTGACAGCATAAAAAAACATGCACAAATAACTTCATGGTGTAATACCACGTTCCTGTTTGACTACCGCCAGCTCTTTTCCAGCCTAAGCTTTAAACCGTATCACCAACCTGTATACACAGTAGTTAAATATAAGTGACCTAAAAATTGCTTGGCCAATGCATTTTTCGCAACCTAATTGAGTAAGTTACAGTCCTTTCACAGAATTCTGCATCTCTGATAATATGTACTCGATCATATCCAAATAATGCTTCGAAGACCGTCATAATGGGACACCTGTATTCCATAATCAATGGCCAACTCCCAATTTCACAGATGTACACAATGAACTGATATGCGTGCAGTAAACTCAATCTTCGGCAAAAAGCAAAATACCTTACTGATTTAGTGACAGTTACTTACTTCATACAAGTAGTATACACAGCAATAATCGATAGGTGAAGATTAGGGCCAAAAGAATGCTTAATATTCGATAAGAATGTAAAGGGCAAAGAAAGTGCAGACTAAGATGGCAAACAACAGAATGTTTGAAGATGGAAACCATATAGCAGGGTTTAGTATCACTACCATTATCGGTTATTTTCTCAACAACAAAAAGCAGTGTCTGCTGCTTCATTCGACTTCCCTTAAAAATACGACTCAATAAGAAAGCTTTAACAACGGTTAGGAATGAACACACACGAAAACATGTTGATAATAAAATATTTTTATTTTAAGATCTGAAAAAGGTGGATTCAAGGGGTTGTGAAACTTATCTAACTTGGTATCCAACAAGTTTTACAAACGGCACTAGCTTTTTACACTTAAGTGTGACTAAACCATATGCAGGTTCATGCAAGCATGCAAGCATGTATGGTGAAACAAATTGTCTAACAGGCCAGCGGGTTATGGGTTTGAAACTCGCTAGAACTGTAAGGATTTTGGACAATTAGATGGTGTCATTGGTGATTAAACAACATATATAACCAACAGTTTAGTACATAAAGCAGTATACGGTCTCTGAATTGGATTATTTTAGTATTAATTCCATCACAATATCAACGACCAGATTGTTGAAATTGTTCAGAATGTCTTTTAAGTTATCGCATTCACACGATATAAGAATCACTGGCTGATTATTACCAGAACATAACTATTCTAATCATCACACTAACAACTAAGGTTTAATTTCTGAGAAAACAACACTAAATTTCAAGCAGAATCCTAACAAAGATGAGATGAACTAAACTTACTTCATTGATGAGCATTGTTAGATGATTAAAACAGTTGATTGGCGTTAATACTGCCACAACTTGACCAGCTAGTGCTACCAGTTGGGATAATTTGTTTATAACCACTTCCTATCAGTCAGTAGTATATAATACGTCCTCTTTTTGCTTTCCGTCTCAACATTTCAAGATCACACTATGTGGTCTCAATACTTTGACCAACAGTTAACCATAGGATAATTTCGAAATATGTTGCACATAGCTGTTTCATTCTCACCTAGGACTATGGGTCAAGGGAAACATCTGCTTGAATGACTTAAGCACTCAGTTTTCAAGTAACACCTTTTGGATCCCATGCCTATTTCAGCTTGCGTGGCACGATGTGGCTCATACGTCACTTGAATTTTTTGTATTACTTTGGTTTAAATTCTTAAAAACTAAAGTACAAGACATATTACGTGATAATAAGTACAAAACTTACAACGAAGTAGTAGTATAGAAGCCGCAGAAGGTAAAAGAAAGTCTTGTTTGAACCTTTGTAAGATGAAAGTCAATTGCTCTAGGAAGCCGATTTCCAATAGATGAACCTTTTAATGTCAGAATCAGTAACTTTTTCCTATTACTGGTCTTCATAAAATAGGTGGTTGTTATTACACATGAATATTTACCCAGACGCCAAATCATATTCATTTGCTTGACCAAATGAACATACTAGCCATTAAAGTAACTAATCGTAAGTAATACTAAACAAACAAATGCAATGTCACTTTAATGAATCAAAAAATAATTTAGAAATTAGATATACAGTAGCTGAGATATTTGCACTAAATTATACTTTTCAACAGAGGACAACTAATTATGATATAATTAAATAACCAAATAAAAAAGTACTCTAATGACAACTATAAATCATGAAAGCGTTGGTATTTACATGGGTTTTTAATGACTTTGGATCCCAACGATCATATCCAGTAAGGTGTAGGTACAATTAAGTGACGAAACATCCGTCTCATCTAACACTATTTTACTACCACATCAGATTCGTTTACAAGTTTTGAAAGTCGGAGAAAGAATATATTTTTACACGTGAAAGGGGGTGAAACAATATATGAACAAATAGGAACAGAAACTTAAATAAACGTACTCGGAATGGAAGCAGCATCGGTGTTAGGAACGGGACCACTAACTGGGACTTTGCCAGATTTTAAGCATTTACTGATGTACACAGCCTTCCATTTGGCATGCTTCCTGGCTTTTTCGATCTTTCATAAAAAAGTATATCACATGGGTAAGTAAATATTCCAGCTTACATCATCACCCACTTCTCCAACTCCAGAGACAATATCTAAGAGTGTAGCAGCTGTAAGAAATAATTTCACAGTGCGCTAAACCTTTTAATGCATGAAATCACACATACGCTCCAAAGTCAACATTCAGATCCTTCTCATGGGCAGCACTGAACAGCTTAAGAGCATATTGTTCGACATAAGGAATTCCTATTGTTTCATTCATAATTTCCTCACGACCTGAGTTATTTTTTTTAATTCTTCCAAATGATCCATCACAGATGAAAGAAATGTCTTGACAGCAGGTGATTTTGACTTGTACCTAAACCTTTCTGAAATGCATGAAGCAAACCTAGGAATTTTTCTACGGAAAAACCAATTCATAACTTACAGTAATAAGTGACAATAGGATCTTTTGAGAATGGTCTGTAGCACATCTCAAGAACACATTCAAATGAGCTAGTTCTTTAGGCACCTTTGAAAAATCCATCATTCACAGCTGAAAAATGGATAGGTAAAGTGAAATCGTTATTATTGACAGTTAAAAAAACACAGTGAGTTTAAAAAAATTTAAATAGTCAGCTTGCGGTACAAAATCCCACACTGTTGGAGGCTTAGTTTAAATTTGAAAAACTTGAACCATATTCGATAATGTCAAGATATTTTTCCATCAGGTTAGAATAATCATTAGTTGCTGATGTATGAAGACAATGAAAACGTTGGGCTTCTTTGAAACAAATATGGGGGTCAATTTATGTTTTAGTCACTACTTTAATACACTAAGTGGTAGACTGGTTGAAGTCTGAAATGAAAGTGATTTTTAAAAAAGCGAAAGTCAACTACTTAAAAAACTCACGTAATTTATAATAAATATCTAAAGCATAACCATATGCAAATGAATTCGCTTTAAAGGAGAGCAAACAGAACATAATCATCAACTTCTGGTCTATAAAATAATGATTCCAGGTGTTGCAGACCTTACAAAATTTGCATGAGAGTTAGTATCCTGTTGCCCTTTATCTGCACTCAAAGCATTTTCAGTTTGTGTATACAGTCACACTGACTTTCCACTCAACTAACCTATACGTTTGAAGACGTAATAAACTTAAAACTCGGTGGGGTGAGTTGAATTCTTGTATAAACACTGACCTCAACGTTTGTTAGCTAGATGTTTCTACCATGCCACAAAGGTCTTTCGCATGGTGGTAAGACGAAAAGCAGTTACCGTTGTAGAGTAAGTCACTAACTTATGAAGGGGGTCCGAGGGCGCAGTCGTACTGCAGGCTGGATGTAGTGTGATAGAAGTAAGGTGTTCCCTTTGGATGACCAGCACTGCCACGCTGACGCTGCCTTCAGATAGGGAAGGCAGGGGTTAGAAAAGGTTGACCCCCGTCACCTTGCGACAGCCTGCCTCTGACACAGGTTGATAGTTGGATTCGATAACAAACAACCAAAATCTTAAAGATGCCATGTGTGTGAACGGCCTAGAGCTGATGTAACTTTGGCTCTGTGGTTATGCACTAACCCTTCTTGTTTAAGTAACTCAAGAAGACTTGACCTTCAACAGTGTGTGCAGTCGCGAAGCGTTGTGAGCTCTCCTTAGAGTAGAAAGAGGAGAAGGAGACACGAATGCAATCCAACAATTTCTATTCATCTATCGCTCAACGCCAAATGATGCCCTACCAGATCACAAATCTCCAGCAGAAGTCCTAATGGGAGGGAAGCTACGTACGCCGCACCACGCAATGCTACCGCCACGTCGTACACAAACAACGCAAACAGTTGGGTCACACTTCAACAAAACAGACTCCGAGATTACAGACCAGGACGTGGCATGTGGTCGGAAGGTGTTATCATGGGAAGACGTGGGAGTGTGATGTATGATATAATGGTGGGTAGGAGAAATGGGAGACAACAATCAGATGCGGCATAGAAAAGTCAACCAACCAAAGAACGCAAACGTACCACCCGATATTCTGCTGAATACGTTTAATTTACCAACGGCGATGAAAAAAACCCGAAACCAATATCAACAAGGAGCCCCTACCCAGAAGATGTACGGACCGGAAATGGTCTCAAACAGTTCGTTTCCAAATGGATCCCAAGAAGCGAAGGTAATAAATATTTTTTCTGATTTTTTTCAAAAAGGGGAGGTGTTGTGAGGCCCTGGTTTTGCACAAAACATTGTTATTGATCTGAACATTTTTATCTTGGCATTCTTGCACCACTTTTACGGTATGACTAGTAGTATATTTTCTGCCCTATTGTAATGTAATTTGCTAATTGGCCAATCTTTACTCTTACTACGCCAATGTCTCAAATTAGGGACAAAGTCATATTTCATGTGTGCACATATTCACGTGTTTTGGGATTGATTATTACGATTGTATTCTCGGAGAAATAAACTCTCCCATTATCCAGCTTCGGTTTTCTCTCTACTCGTCCCGGGTTGCAGTCGGTGGCTCTTGGGAACTAAGTTAGCTATCAGTCAAGCGTGCGTATTATATTCGTTCGGAATATATAACCTTTGGCGACGAAGATATAACAGGAGGTGCCGATCACCTTCACAAACCTATCAGCACCTAAGTTCCCTCAGATTATGGTCCACCCCACACATCCTTACTTTTTCATCTTCCTTCACGTTTCTCAGTCAGTTATCCTATATCATCTTTAATTTCTCCCAGCTCTTGACAACGATCTCGGTTCACAGGACAGCACCCTTGGTCACCTAAAACCGCGCTTCATATTAAGCTTTGGAGCTGTCAATCTCCGCTCCCTCCATAAAACCAAACAAGCTTACCAAGCCAAAACTCCAGCAACTCAGGCCATAGATGTGTGCTGTGTCTGTGAGAAACGGATACAGGACCCAAATGGGGTTATTCACTTAACCTCACTCGGGCAATATGGTGAATCCCAGAAATTCACCCTTCGAGTTTCTGGAGATTCATTGGGCAGTTCTCATGGTCTTGCAGGTGTAGGTAAAGCATTGAGTAATAAGGCGGAAAGATCTCTAGTCGACTGGATCCCAGTTGACAGTCGTTTATGCGCTGTTCAACTGAATAGCACAATGAGGATAGAAAGGAATATTGAAACTCGCCGTTGTCTCTTTGTGCTCTCTACCTATGCATTCACTGATTGCGGTTCGGATGAGCTCTAACGAAAATTGTCTACCCTTCTGCTGAAAGCCAAATATGCATCCGTATTAGTTATTGCAGGTTATTTGAATGCAGGTGCTCGGGTGCGGCTTTCGGAACCCCAGCCAGAGTAACAGATAACGGCGATAGCCTACTACAACTGTGCTTGGACAATCACCTATTTCTAGCCAGCACAAACTTCAGACATAAGAGAGATATTAGCTGAAGTGGCGTCCGAGCTTAACTCAGCGGTGGATGCAGATAGACCACATTGGTGTCAGTCATCGATGGAGAGGGTGGGGTGGAAGACTGTCGACACTTCTGGAGAACGTATTTGGACAGCTATCATGTGTTGGTTCCAGCGCGTGTATGTCAACGTCTCAACAGATGTAGGGAAACTTTGGCGACAAGATCATTGTGAGTGCACCTGGACAATGAGAGCATTAAGGCTACTTCAGTGAGCGACCGACTCGACAGTTATCGGAAGGAACAATATCAAAGATTCAGAAGAAGCTTGGCACCATCTCCAGTCTGCTGTTAAAAGGGTGTTGAGTGCCATAGCTGTCAAAGAGTGATTATAAGGAGCCATGGATATCAGCAACTTTTTCCGAATTAATGGATGCATGTAAACGCGTCTCTGCAGGACCAGAGTATAATGAGAAGCGAATGAAACTCAAACATAGACTGAAAAGTCTACACAATGACCAGGAACAGTAATGGGCGACGAAGGCTAAAGAGAAGGAAAGGGTAGTGGCGATAGGTAAGAGTAGACTGTTATTTAGACTTATCAAGGAAACTGAAGCGAAAATGTCAGTGGTTAGTACGACGATGGAAGAGAAGGATGGACCTTGGACTCACTCATAGAAGAAACAACTGGAACGATAGGCGAATTACTTGGAGGAACAGTCCACTTGACTTCCAGCTACTAATTCGTTACCCGCTTTTCAGTCGGATCCTCAATGGAGACAGAACCGTCATTACTTGCAGTTGGTGAAACTGTAGGTAACCTGAAACGAAAAAAAGCAGCAGGGCCAGATGACATAGTTTCAGAGGTGTTTAAGGACGACTGTAGGGGAAATTTAATCAACTGATGTGCTTGGGAGTTAGATACGATTTTCTCTGACTGGTCTCAATCACTGATTGTCCTCATCTTCAGGAAAGGTGAGAAGTCTTCCTGAGATAACCATAGAAGAATCAGCCTCACAAATATAATGTCTAATATTCCAGGTTCTATGATCATTATACATCCGATTGCAACTCGATAAGAGCAAGCCCAGGAAGACCATGCGGGCTTCAGACCTACCCGTCGACGTATCCACAAAGTATTGACACTCTACCGCTAGGTTCTGGAACACAGATACCCTCACCGATGCCCGATACTGGCTGTATTTCTCAACCTGTAGACGACATTGGAATCCATCGATCGAGAGGTCTTATGGCAGTGTTTCTCACCGAGAGGACTGTCGAATAAGTATATCACTTTGTTGAAGGCTGTTTGCTCCAACACCCGTGAATGTCTTAGAGCTTATAGTGAGTTGCACAAGTGAACTGTGTACATCGAGTGGTATCCGTCAAGGATGCCCACTCTCTCCACTCATGTTCGATTTCATCATAGACGTTCTTATTGAGGTCTCCCTCTCATCGTCTAACGTCACAGGGATTGACCCTTTCACAGGAGAATCCTTGGCACATCTAGAATACGCAGATGACATAGTCGTGCTAGGTGAAAACACTGACAAGATGCGTAATCTTCTGAACACCTTGAGTGGCGATTTGAGAACGTCTGGGATGTGTTCCTCACCACCCATTTGCAAATTGTTGCTCCACAACTAGTCTTCAGTTATGCACTTTCTAACAATATAGAGTGAGGCAGTTGAGCGCGTTGATAACTTCAGTCACTCGGGAAGTCGGATAAGGCCAGATGGGTCAGTGGCCGACGAAGTCTCTGCACGGATACAAAAGGCTTGACTGTCTTTTGCCAACCTACACCATGTGAGCGGCCACCACGATATCCGGTTGGCTATAAAACATCGATTTTACAGCTCGGAAGTTCACCATGTTCTACTGTATGTCTGTAAAGTATGGTCATTATAGGTAGAGAGGATGGGAAGGTTTCAGGATTCCAACCACCGTCACCTTCGTAGGATAGGCCATGAGTCGTTGTGTCTCTACTTCAGTAATGGAGAAGTCAGATGTAGAGTTCGGGGAAGAGTGCGTTCGTAAAAAATAGACAGTGAAGGTGGAGGATATCAGAGGGATTCGGGTGTTCGACTGCTGCTGACTTCATGCCAGGCGTGTGCCAT